TGAGTGATTGGAATAGCCTTCTGCTATGATCTGAGTGTTTGGGTCTCCCTAAAACTCAAACACTGAAACATAAACCTCAACGTGATGGTATTAGGAGTTGGGGCCTTTGGGGGATGATTAGGTCACGAGGACAGAGCCTTGTGAATGGGATCAGTGCCTTTATAAAAGAGGCTCTAGAGGGTTCCCTTGCTGCTTCTACCACACGAGGACACATCTAGAGCCGGGCCCTCACCAGACACTGAATCTGTAGGTGCACTGATCTTGGACTTCCCAGTCTCCAGAATGGTGAGAAATAAATTCCTGTTGTTTATAAGACACTAGTGTACAGTATTTTGTTACAGCAATTCAAAGAGACTAAGATGCCCTCTGTCATTGATTGGATTGGTGGCAGACGTAGCAGACTTGCTCCTCTCCCAAGTCTCCTTCAAATGAGCTTTCCTGAGGCCAAAAATTCTGACCTGCAATTTTGAATTAAAAGCATTGTTTTCTAAAGTGTTCTAAACAAATAGGGGCATGGGATACGCTGTCAAAGGCTCTATACTTGGTGTTATGCTCACACCCCATGGCATAACTGGTTGGCAGCTTCATAGCAGAGAACAAGGCCCAGAAGGATGGGGACCTGGAGCTAGCCTCCTCTGACCTGGGGTCTAGGTGTTGGGGGAGAGTGGGGAGAGGATTTTGTCAGCAAAGATGGCCGGGACATGGAGAAGGCGGATGAAGCTGAGACTCCAAGGCAGGGCATAGGGAATGGAAGACAGAGAAGATGGCTGGTGAGGAAGAACATCCCTGGGAGCCCTCTGCTCCCTTACTGTGCTGAGAGTAAACTTGGCTGAGGCCCCTCCTGGATTTCCAGCTAGTGGCCTGCAAAAGAAGGTGCTTAATTCCCAAGTTGTTCCATTAAGGAGCAAAGAGGGAGAGAGGCAGTATACTCTGGCCATTAAAAGCTCTGACTCTGGGGCCTCACAGACTCAGGTTTTGATTCTGGATCTGCTAGGAACTAGCTTGGTGACTTGGGACAGTCACTTAACTCCTCTGTCTCTCACTTTCCTCATCTATAAAATGGGGACATAAGTAATAATGCCTCAGGAGGTTCCAGGGAGGACTAAACTTGGCTGAGATCTTTCATGGTAAGCACTCAATAAAAAGCAGCTAGTCTTACTAAGGGAGGCAGCTCCCACTACTCTCACAATCTGTGCCTGGGTTCCACTGCAGACAGGACCAGACCAGCTGGAGAGGCAGTGATGGCAGCAGGCAAGCTAAAACTCAGGCCTGCAGAATTCTCCAATGTTAGTCCCAGGAGGATTGGATTCGAAGTGTTAAGTGATTCAGGCTTCCTTTTTAAGAGCAGAAAATAGGCCTAAAAAGATCATATAGCTAACAGAAGGAAATAGGCCTAGGCAGATCTTATGGCTTGACATAGCCATATAGAGATGGCCACATAGCTGAGGAAGTGTCAGAGCTGAGCTTCCAGCCTGGACCTTGCGGCTCACAGCCAGTGGACTGTAAGTCTGAGGCAAGGCCCTGGGAGCAGCAGGGTTTGTGGGCCATTTCCAAGCCCTTAGTAATCATCATCCTTACACCAAAAGCCTCAAAATTCTGTGCCCCATAGAAGGGGGTGACTTTCAGATGGCAGATTGCTTGCAGGTTGGCTCTTTTAGGTAAGGACAATTCCTAGGCACTTTCTCAGTGAACCTGGTCCATTTTTCTTCTTTCCAGTCCTCTTCTCCTTATGGGGATGTTTTCATTGTTTTCTTTTCAGGCTGGGCTTAGCCCTGACCTCTCTGCTCCAGGCTGGTGGGTTTTCCCTTCCCCCAGCCTCCTCTCCCTCCCTGGTTTCTATCAGGAATAGGCAGTGATTGAAATTATTGATTCAATCAGTTTATCCTCCTGCCGAGATGCATCTTGGCTGGATCACTAATCCCGGGGCCAAGCCTTAGCACAGTCCACTGGCTTCCCTTGCTCAGCGCCAGGGGCAATTGGAGCTGCAGAACCTCCTGGGGTATCATCAATGAAGACCGGAGGATTTGACTGGTAATGGGCTCCCGGTTCTCAATCTGGCAGCTGCAACTGAATCCAGGGAAATAGAGACACGTCCAGCTTCTCTGAAAGCCCACCAGCTTGGTCCATTGCAAACGAGGCTGACTTTCAAGTTCCTAGTTACAGTTTCCACTCACTGTTACAAGAAATCTCTCTGAGGGTATTCCTTCCTGTCGCATGGAATAATTTGGAATCACGAGAATGAAGACATGGCTGTTTCTCAAGCGATAATAAAAGCATCATCGTGGGGGCAATTTTGGCAGCCACGTTACTGGACTTACTATAAATGCCTTCCTATTTTACTAGGTCTCCTCAGTTTCCTTGCCCGCCCTCATTTATTTTACAGGGATTCTGTGTAGCTGAAGTAATGTGCATGAATATTGCGTAACATTCTGTGGAAGGATACAATATTGTAGAAATAATTTAATTGATGACCTGTAATGAAAAGAGCGCTGGGTAAGTAGCCTGGGTTGCAGTTTCTTTCTATATTTTTACATTGCCAGGGATAGTGCTGTTGACATGAATAGGCCAGTATTGATTTCATTTAAAATTTTCAACATCTGAATGATGTGAGCAGTGATCTGTGGGAAGATACTGTGGAGTTGTCGGCATAGCCCCTGCTAACAAAATACCATTTAAAAAGGATTTTTCTATTAGCATTCACAAAGAGAAGGGAGAATAAAAAGGGTTATGAGAATGTTAAAATTTTCACTGACCGAAGAAATATGAAGTCACCATCTTCATTTTACTCTTAATTAATTGAGTTATTGGACCTTATATAAGCCTCTGTTAAATTCCTGAAAGAAAGCAGGCCGGGGCCTTGAGGTGGTTGTATAGAATACTTTGTTTTCTAAAGGGAGTGACTTCAATCACCCCATGAGAAAGTCCCTGACGGCAGTCAGACTCCCCCAAGAAATGGATTTCAAATGCGGCAGCAACTCCTTAATGCTGCCCTGCTAATGAGTTCCAATTCAGTGGTTATGAGTTACCATCATTTAACAACAGTAGCACAAATTAGATTTTCAAACTTTCAGAGATGCAGTTTCTCAGGACGCCTGAGTCTACCAGTCAGATCATAGAAGGCTGAGGGGAGACAGATGCTGGGCAGGTGGCTCAAAGAGTGATTTTTAAAAGGCAACCCTGTGGTAAACTGGGGACACTGATTGGGTTCCATTTCTGGGTAGTGGGGGTTTGAGGTTCTCAGTTTGCCCAAGAGATAGGTTTGTTGTGAAAGTATGGACCAAGGCAGAGGTTGCAGTGACCCAAGATTGCGCCACTGCACTCCAGCCTGGAGACAGAGCAAGACTCCGTCTCAAAAAAAAAAAAAAAAAAAAAAAAAGCAAAGTATGGACCAAGTGGAAGTCAGCAGCTCCTGTCTTTATCCTTTTGTTGGCCTGGAGGTTAAGGAGAGGTGGAAGGACAAGGCTGGCTGTGAGCAGCCATCTAAGTCCCTGGAGTGGCAAACAGCCACCTCTTGAGCATCTTCTGCCTTCCTGCCTTTCTAATGAAGAGCTTCAACTCAGGTATGGCAAAGACATTTGAAGGGAAAACTCAGGGAAGGAGCTTTCCAGAATCACTGGTAACGAGTGTGATAGAAGAGCTATCTGAATGCAGTGTTGCCCTAGCTATGGATTCTTCCAGAAAGCTGTCCTCAGTTGGGCTGCTTTGGGCTGTAGGACTCTCCTGCCTGCCTTGCCAAGCAGAGGGGGATCTTCAACCTTGAATGAGGAGGCCCATGAAGGAGACCTGGACCAGTGCACACCAGGAGATGAAAGGGGCCTTGCTGGTTGTTATCCTGAGGGGAATGCACTAACCCTGGTTTCAGTTCTGGCAGCAACACAGGGGAAAAGGCACAGGAGGGATGAAGATGAAAAGGAAGGCACAGCATGGATGCTAGTCTTCATCACCAGAACAACTGGAAGTCATGAAAATGTCTTAAACCCACAGAGACACATCATTCTAAAATACACCCCTATGTGTCTGATAAAAGCAGTGCCAATATTTTTACTGACATTCTAAGAAAATAACTTAGATTGATATGTATGAATGATATATAGAAAAACTATATATCATTTTTGTGGAACTCAATAAAGCTATTGTCATTTTGAATAGAAAAAACAATTTGAAAACTTAAGAAAAAAAAAACCACATTGGTTAGCCAGGTGCAGTGGCTCACGTGTGTAATTTCAGCACTTTGGGATGCTGAGGTGGGTGGATCACCTGAGGTCAGGAGTTCGAGAGCACTTTGATCAACATGGTGAAACTCCATCTCTACTAAAATACAAAAATTAGCTGGGTGTGGTGGTGCACGCCTGTAATCTCAGCTACGTGGGAGGCTGAGGCAGGAGAATTGCTGGAACCCAGGAGGCGGAGGTTGCAGTGAGCCGAGATGGCACCACTGCACTCTAGCCTGGTAACAACAGCGAAACTCCATCTCAAAAAAAAAAAAAAAACAAGCAAAACCAAAAAACGACATTGGGTTCACATCACTGAAAAAGACTTCCAGAGAGCCTGCTCTAATGCTGACAGGTGCTGGCCAGGCATGTGCCTGGGGTACTTCTGTCAGACTGTTGTCTGTCCTAGTTTTGATTGTCCTCCCATCTGAGTCACAGAATGGGCAACAAAGCAAAAACTCCACCATAAGTGCCTCCTCGGGAAGTTTTCCTCCAAACCTGCATGGCAAGCTCACATCTGGAATGAACCCACCCTATCTAATCGTGGCTTACCACCTGTGCTCAAGAGTCACCTCCCACAACCTGCCACTGAGCCTGACGGTCCCACAGTCAGGGGCACCTTGGCTCTGGAAAGTCCCCTGAGAGAGCCAGTAGGTCATGATTTAATGCTGGGGTAACCGTGGGATGATATTGTATGATATTATGTTCAGGGACCCAGGAATCCTGAAATCCTTTCTGATGAGCCACTGTCACTCTGAGGAGGGAGGGAAAATAAGGGGGAACAAGAAATGAATGGACATTACACTTTATTATTAGCCAGAGTTTTAGCCTTCAATCCCAATGCAGAGAAATCTGGAATGCTGGGCTGGACCGCATGGAAGGTGGACCCCCTCTGATGTGTCTCTCTCTGGGTAGCCTTAGATGGCAGCAGGCTCGAATGTTTGCTCTCTTTTCTTTCTCCGCACCCACGCACCTGTTTTGGAGTTTACTGTTAGGATGCTAGAAAAGGCTGATCCACTGTACAGCAGACAAGAACAAGGAACCAGAGAGACAGAGCAAGTTTGCTCGCAGTGCCTAGCAGGGATCTGGCTCACCTTGTCCTGTGGGAAGCCCAGTGGGAAGTAGGGAGGACATTTAAGGAGATGAAGAAGTTGAGGAAAAGGGAAAGCGTAGCTGCCTCACATGTACGCCACACCTTGCCACAGCGCTGAAGAGAGCAAGATTTCACCGAAATGACTGCATTTTCAGCCCCTTGAAACCAGAAGAATGAGATCCCGTATCCTATATCTGACTAACCAACCTGATACCCCTGTCCTTGAATCCACATGTTGTCCCATAGTCCAGTTTCCACGTGAGGCACGAACAGTTTATCAATGTGTCCTAAGGGTGGGACACTATATTTAAGGTGATTTGGGGTGTTCCATGGACACAGTTATTAAATTATATTGCTTTGTTTAGTAAGAAAGTTATTCCATTTAAAGCACTTTCAATCCTTTATATTAATTCTAGGGGACTATCTCGGTTGGTGTTATGTGTCTTTAACACTTTCAAAATAATTTAGTTTCTTTTTCTTTAACAGAGGATAGGCCTCATCCTCAGAGCTCTCAAGCAGCTGCAGTATGTAGCAATAATTTAAAAACATGTTTTTATTTTTAAATAAATTTCATTAATTTAAGTGAAACAGATAATTGTCCTCTTATGTTAATAATAATAGCCAAAAGCTATGTATACTTACCAGGGGCCAGGAACTATTTTAAGTGTTTAATGTATATTAACCCTGTTAGTCCTCAACACAACCCTATAAGATAGGTCTATTATTATTCCTATTTTACAGATGCAGAAGCTGTCACTAATTTTCAAAATCTCTATATTTGAAAAATATTTTTTGAAAGTTTCCGTATTATAAATATAACACATATTTTATTAGAGAAAAGCACTAAATATAGTTAATGAAAAAGAAGGACCACCATTAACATCTTGGTCTATAAGCTTTCTAAGCTTTTTTATATATACAGGTTGAATATCCCTTATCTGCAACACTTGGAACCAGAAGTGTTTCAGATTTCCAATTTTTTTGGATTTTGGAATATTTTCATTATAGCTGCCTATTGGTTCAGCATCCCAAATTTGAAAATCCAAACTCCAAAATACTCTCATGGGCATTTCCTTTGAGCATCATGCTGGCACTCAAAAAGTTTTGGATTTTGGAGCATTTCAGATTTTGGATTTTCAAATTTAAAATGCTCAACATACACATATATACATATATGTGCAAATATTTTATTTTTAAAAATGAAAATGAGATCATATTAAATATATGGGGTTATTTTTGGTTTTGTTTGCTTTAAGGAGACAGCGTCTCATTCTGTTGCTCAGGCTGGAGTGCAGTGGCTCAATCTCAGCTCAGTGCAGCCTCAACCTCCTGAGCTCAAGCAATCCTCTTGCCTCAGCCTCTCGAGTAGCTGAGACTACAGGTGCTCACCACCACACCTGGCTAATTTTTTTTTATTTTCGGTAAAGACAAGGTCTCACTCTGTTGCTCAGGCTGGTCTTAAACTCCTGGGTTCAAGCGATTCTCCCACCTCGGCCTCCCAAAGTGCTGGGATGACATGTGTTTGCCACCACACTCAGCCAAACATAGGATTTTGAAACTTCCTATTTCATTTAAATCTACTCTACTTTCCCTTACCTTAGTCCACGTCTCTTTCTAAGAGGCAAGCTTGCTTGTTTCTGATTGGGAAACATTGAAGTTTCAATGGCAGACTCTAGCTTCCCTCGTTCTGAAGATTGTAAAGGAAGGGTCTTATGACAGCTGTCAAGAGCCATTAGTGTAACAAGATATCAGTCCAAAGTCACGGGGAAAACTCTTTTTTCTATAGGGAGTTTGATCCCTTTGTATATTTGGGGACTCATCAAAGGGGAGTTTTGAGATAGTCTTGTTTTCCACATAAAACTCAGAAAATTGCTTGATTTAAATGCAACTTCTGTCTCCTCTTTTCACTTGTCATTTCTAAAACATTTTAAAAAAGTGTTAAAACTAATGGAGTAACAAACTGCCATGCAGTAATAATATTTTAGGTAAATGAAAATGCATCCTGGTAGAGAAACAAAGACATAGTTACCGTCAATGGAAATGGAAGAGAGGGGTAGTAGATATTGCTTCTGGTCTCAATCAATCTGATCTTATCTAATTTAACCAATTAAGCAATTTTGAATTTTGTAATTGTTCTAATGGGGAACCAGTGGAGACATTATGTTATTCTAGGCATGTTTTGTTATGATAACACGGGCCTTTAAAGATTTTTTATGTCTTTTATTTTGAAAGTTTTTCACGTATTTGAAGTCTTGCCTGGTGGCCAAACCCTAGTGTTCTGTGACTCTGTGGAAACGGGCTCACCTCCTGCTCCTGGTATCCCACTCCCTCTGGCTTTAATTAATACCATACAATAAAACTCCTACTCTCCAGCCAAACCACCATCGGCTGTAATCTTGTCAGTTCTTATAAGCCAAAGAGAAACACACGCTTTTTCTTGTTATTGTTTAATCATCTGCATCAGCTATTTAATTTCCAGAGGAACCTCATCTTGCTGTTTTGTGTTCCCCTTTCCTCCTTTCTGTTTATTTATTTGCTGTTTATGTTTTTTTCCAAAGAAAACCATAGGTAACAAGTTTTGTGAATTTAATCCTGATGGTTTTAATGGCAGATGCCTTAGTTCCTGGCTATCTGCTCTTTCTAAATTACAGCACAATAAGGATGAAGAATTTAAAAAGCTAACCTAGCATAAGAGAGAGGGGCTTTAATTTTAACTAGAGCAACAGCTGAGAACCAACACGTTGTCAACCATTCTCAGTCATATGTAGCAGGTTGCATTGCTTCAAAGTATTAGGGTGGGCTGGGCCCGGTGGCTCACACCTGTAATTCCAGCACTTTGGTAGGCTGAGGTGGGAGGATCACTTGAAGCCAGGAGTTGGAGGCCAACATGGGCAACGTAGCAAGACCCTGTCACTAAAAAAAACATTTTTAAAAATTAACCAGGCATGGTAGTGTTCACCTGTAGTTCCAACTACTTGGGAGGCTGAGGGAGAAGGATTGTGTGAGCCCAGAAATTCAAGGTTGCAGTGAGCTGCGATCACGCCGCTGCACTCCAGCCTGGGTGACAGAGTGAGATCCCAACTAAAAAAAAAAAAAAAAAAAAAAAAAAAAGGATCAGGATTGTATTGTAATGCTGTCATTGTTCTCGAAGTGTGCAAAAAATTGCAAGTCACAGACTACTAAGTTTGGCGACAGCCTCTGTTTAAGGACTGAAGCAAGCATACTTACATACAAATACCTCTACTCATGGACCACATTTGTACCTACCTGCCCCGCTCCCTTTCTTACAATGGCTCAGAACACCCTTGTCCTTGTAGAATACTCAACATGTGTACAAATCATCCCCATCACCATCACCATACCCATCACCTAAGTCCTGTTCATTTCACTGACACCACCAGCAGCATCCTCCAAATACAAAGCTTATGTCCTGTCTATGTTTCTGATATTGCAATCGTGTGTCATTTCTTAGTGCCCTGCAAACATTTTTGATACTTTAGCGTTTGGGTTTGGTTTCTTTCTATCTTTCTTTTCATCTTACTAAATACAAATTCTATGTACTGTGATAAAGGAATGGAAAGGAACCGTGTACTTCTCTCCAGTGTACTTCTCTGGAGCTGGTAGAAACAAACTTGCTGTTGAAAATCTTTAACTCTAAATTCCCTGGCTTTCCTGTGAAAGGAATTTCACCTCTAATGCAGCATTAATGGGGTTTTGCATTGAATTGCCTTTTGGGGTTTGATTTGCCTTTTAGAGATGCTGATGTTTGACTGCATGTTCAAACACAGCATGTATTCTTATGAGCGATGTGAGATTCAAATAAACACAACGAGTGTGTTCATTTTGATGACCTCCCCATCACACATTCAAATAAACACAAATGTTCTCAAATGTATAAAAGCAGCTGTGTTTATGTCAGCGTGCAAAGCACCAGATATATACATTCAGATTCACTCATCTATCTGGAACCATGTACCTCCGCTCATCGTTAAAATTTAGTGGAAAATCATGCATGGGGCATGTGTAATGTGCAATTTTCAACCATACACACATCTCTAAACAAATTTTCTTCAAGCATGTTACTGACATTTGTTCTAATTGGGGATGAAGCCTGGAGAAACTTTGAAGTTTTTGAAAACAAAACAAAGCATAATGCAAGTTGCTACCAGAGGGCATAGCGTGTCTAAAGTATTCTAGCAGCACCAGTAAGAGTCACCTTCCTGATATTCAGAACAATTTTCTTTGCCTTTCTTTTCTTTTTTTCTTCTTCCCTTCCCTTTCCTTTCCTTTCCTCTCTTGCTGCCTTCTTTCTTTTGTTTAAGCAAAACTAAGAAAAGTTCTTCCTTCCCCCTCCACTTTTCCTCCTTGTCTTTCTTCTTTTGTTCCTTCCTAGCAAAGTCATGCAACATGCCAGCTCAACAGGTAGGCTTTTTTTTTTTTCTTGTTTGCTTTAAATATCATAAATGTGAGACATGACAAATCTTTTTTTCAGAACCTCAGCTGGAACAGCTCAAGCATTAATGCCGGGTTAAGCTGCACTTTCTGCGTAAGAACCAACTTTGGCTTTGTATGTCAGACTGAAACAACACTTCCATCTTGCATTGCTTCAAGTATAAGTACAGTTTGCAGGTCTCCAGGAAAATCCCCAGGCTCCACTTTGCTGCCAAATAGTCCTAAAAAGAATAAAAGTAACATCTAAGTTGATTGAGATCTACCTGTGAGCCAGGGACTATTCTAAACATGTTGAATGTTTTATCTCATTTAATTCTCAACCACCCTCTGAGAGGGGTACTCTTGCTATCCTCATGTTACACACGAGGAAGTACAAAGAGGTACTTTCCTCAAGGTCACAGCACCAGTAGGTGACGGGGCCTAATGGA